GGGCGGTGCTAGGGCAGTACTGGGCGATGCTGGGGGCGGTACTGGGGCTGTGCAGAGCGGTGCTGGGCGATGCTGGGCGGTACTGGGCGGTGCTTGGCGGTACTGGGCGGCGCTGGGCGGTGCATGCACAGGCTGCTCGGGAAGGCTGCAGGGCCGTGGGGCTTTCTCGGCCCATGCCGACCCTTCGCGTCCCTGCGCCAGGCTCCGCCCGTGCCCCAGGTGAGCTCCTGCCCCAGGTGAGTTCCCCAGGTGAGTTCCCCCAGGTGAGATCCCCCAGGTGAGCTCCCGGCGGGACTCCCGCCCGGCCCCGGCCTGGCCCAGCCTGCCGCGCCGTTTCTGTCTGTGTTAATGACGTGAGTTGTATAATCTCTGGGTTATTTTGTGTTTCATGCGTTCTTTCAAAGCAGATAAGAAAGGACAATGGGAGTTCAAGGACTTTGGAAGCTGCTTGAATGCACTGGGAGGCCTATAAACCCAGAAACGCTGGAAGGGAAAATTCTTGCTGTTGGTATCCTTTAAAAGTAAAGCCGAGGAAGCAAAATTGCATGGGAAACTATTTTAACTATTTCCCTTATTTATACATGTTATTAATATTGTTATTCTTATTTTAAACGTACAACACTTTGATAAGTGGATTTTATGGTTTCTAATATGTGGAATACTAACCTCTTTATATTTTTATCTTTTAAAAAGTGGACTTTTTTTTTTAATAGGTTCCTTACGTAAGTGTTGGATTAGAGGGTTTTGTGCTTTGTAAATAAATGTGCTGCTGTCATTAGGACTATAAGATGAAAACATTTAAGTGCTTATGCAACAGCTTTAGAATCATAGAATTTTTGGGGTTGGAATGGACCTTATAGATTATCTAGTCACAACCCCTTTCTTATCCTATATGCTTGGTTAAATGCTGTAAAGATGTGGAAGGAAGTTACCCTTCAGTATCTGTAAAAATAACTGTGGGTGGTCCTTGCTGCATGGTTGCTTCAGCTCTTGCTTTTCGTGCAGGGCATTTACTTTTCTCCAAAGTTCACAGCTGTTTGGATAATCTTGGTTTCAGTAAGCCAAGCCTGGAGCAGTGGGCAAAAGCTACTCGGTCAAATTATGTGCACTTTATAGAAGCTCTTAATGTGGTATGTGTGTAAGAGAGCACATTTTTTTCCCCTCAACGTTCTTTAAGATATCAGTATCTGGCTGAACCAAGCAATAAAGGGAGCCAGAGATCGTCGCGGTAATTCCGTACGGAATGCTCACCTCCTCACTCTGTTTCATCGACTCTGCAAGCTGCTGTTTTTCCGGATTCGACCTGTCTTTGTTTTTGATGGAGAGGCTCCTCTTCTGAAGAGACAGACCTTGGTGAGTGCCTTTGCTGCATCACTGCAATGCAAAACAGGATGTATGTCTGCTGGTACTAAGTAGCCGTTTTCAGTTTCCTTCCTGTTGTTCTGTTTATGATGCTGAGCTGTAAGGATGGAGGGCTTGACATCCACTGCTGTCCAGGTGTCCTTTGCAGTCCCAGCCTGGGTTAGCTGCTGGAGCATGCAGCAGCTCTCTTCTGAGATGTTGTCCTGGTTTTAGCCAGGATGGAGGCACGTCACGTCATGCCCAGTCTATAAGCAGGAAGAGCCGATCTGGGGGGAGGTTCGAGGTTGCATTGGTCTGTGGGTGGTGAGCAATTGTATTGTACATGACTGATTTTGTTCTTTTTATTATCCATTAGCATTTTAGCTCATTCTACTCTTTATTATTATTAAATTGTTCTTATCTCAACCTACATATTTTACTTTATTTACTCTCCGTCATGCCCAGTCTATAAGCAGGAAGAGCCGATCTGGGGGGAGGTTCGAGGTTGCATTGGTCTGTGGGTGGTGAGCAATTGTATTGTACATGACTGATTTTGTTCTTTTTATTATCCATTAGCATTTTAGCTCATTCTACTCTTTATTATTATTAAATTGTTCTTATCTCAACCTACATATTTTACTTTATTTACTCTCCTCCCCATTCCTCGAGGCTGGGGGGGAAGAGGGAGGAGGGAGTGTAAGCAGCTGTGTGGTGCTTGGCTGCTGGCTGAGGTTAAACCATGACAGATGTGCAGGTTTGATTTGCATAGAAACCAGGGTGCAGTGAAGTAGATGATAACATAAACTTGTAACTTGCTCCAGAACAGACCTGAATGCAACACTTGCAGGCATTTTGTACCCAGAAGCTGAAAGCTGTTCCTGTGTCCCACAGAGGAAACAGACATAGTTTTAGAGGATTGGTGTTGGTTGAGTTAGGAGTTGCTCATAGGCTCAGCATGTGGAATTTTAACAGTGGTTCTCTGGGTGTGCATCTTCAGCATCCAGCAAAATCTCATTGGTGTTGGTCTCATTTTCACAGGCTAAGCGAAGACAAAGAAAGGATGTTGCCATCAGCGATTCCAAGAAAACTACAGAGAAACTCTTGAAAACACTTTTGAAGAGACATGTTATCAAAACTGCTCTTAAGGACAAAAGGCAAGAATAAAAATTATTTATTTTCTTGTTTATAAGTGTCAGGTGAGTCTTTATGAAGCTGTTAATGACTGGGGTTTTTTGCCTTTTTTTTCCTTTCCTTAAGCAATGAAGTTTTGCCCAGTATTACACAAGTCCGAAGAGAAGGAATTGATGATATGTATGTGTTGCCTGCTTTACAGGATGAAGAGAAGAACAGGTAGGTAGAATTCAGAGAAATAGCTTAAATGGCTTATATTAAACTCAGATAAAAGTATAAGGCCATACATTTTGGTGCTGCTGAAAGGCCTTTGACCCATAAGACTTTATAATATATAAAGTATATTAATTTATATTTTATTTCAGTTTTTTTCTTGAGAGTTTGTTTAGAATTCTAGATACAGAAGCCTAGTTATTTATAGGAAAGCAACAGAAGAAACTTTCAGCCCACAAATTAAATTTCTGCACTGGATTCATGTTTAAGGATGAAGGTTTTACCTCAGTCTCTGTGGCTGTATTCATACAACTAAATGGAACTAATTGCTCAATCAGTGGGTGGCTGCTGCCTGTGTGGCAGCTTGATTCTGGTTTGCATCCCCTCATCCAGTAGCACTGACATGCCCAGCAGGAGTAGGCTCTGTGTGTACTTGTCAAACCTGTGATATCTTAAATAACACTTAAGTGAGAACGTGAAGTTACCCTTTGCACATCTGGTGCTTTTCTGTAGTTCAAACACTGACCAAATAAAATCATGTAATGAGTTAAACAGCAACAGTTGTCTCAATCTAGTTTTAACTGACATAAGTCTGGCTTCTTGCTTTCTGGTCAGATCTTTTTGACCTGTGTGTGTATTTATGTGTGCATTTGTATGTATGTGTATCTATACATACATATGTACTTTGATGTAGTGTGAATTTTTTGTACTTATCAGTGAAGGGATGACTAAGGTCCTTCTGCTTAAAATAGGAGCTTTATTTTCCTAGGTAAATATCTACACCATTTTTTCCCCTCTTTGTAATTTTTAGCTCAGAGGAGGAGGAAGAAAAAGAATGGCAAATGAGAATGAGTCAAAAAAAGATGTTACAGGTAAGTGCAACCCAATTGCCCTGTTACTGTGAGTAATCCTCTCATTCATGTGCCATGCTTAAAAGACAAACAAAAACTTAAAAAGCCAGACTGGAGATACAGGTTTTACTATAGCATTACTTATCAAGCAAACATGTTACTTTTTGGTACTCTAAGAATTCCTATTAATGAGGAAATATAAATGTCATGTCTCCAATAGTATGCAGCAGAACGGAATTGTCCTGTGTTATTCTTCTTTTTCTTTTGACCATTTTCTCTGAACATGTGGAGAAGAAATTGGTTTTAGTAACGATGCAAGTGAAATACATGCATTTGTGCATGTGTATACACACAAAGGACAGCATATTTAACAAAATCCCTGTGCTTCTCCAGATGTGAACTGATGCTGAAGAGCTTCAGTCCTTGAGTTTTCACAGGTAAATTCTGTATTTGCTTCTGATGTATTGATCTCACAGGAAGAGGAGAAAAGAAATCTATAACCTAAGAAGGCAGCATAATGAATAATAAAATCATCTCTGCTTTCATCAATGGATAAGAAAATGAAGAAGCTTTTAGAAATGCTTTTTGTATTTGAAGTAGTTCTCATTCGGAAGGAGAATCTCTTTGGAAGGATATAATCAGACTAGTTGAAACTATAGGACCTGCTTCTGTGATTTATACTAAATATCTTTTTGCAAAAAGAATAAACCCAAGTTTCTTTGTATGGTGTGCATCAATAATTATGTACTTTATTAGGTAGTGGTTACGTTTTTTTGCCTTGTTTTCTTCACTGTATGGGAAATAGCAACAAAGTTCTTGTGTTTTGGGTTTTTTTGTCTTGTTGTTTGGAATGATGCTCTAGATATTTTATTATTTTTGCTGTGCTGTAGTGTAAAATATGTATTTTATGTTGGTTTTAATTTTTATAGGAACAGCTGTGTGAAAATCCTTATTCTGTAGATATTGAATCAGAAGATTTCAACAAGCTGCCTCCAGAAATAAAACATGAGATCTTGACTGATCTTAAAGAACTTACAAAACGAAGGAGAACATTATTTGAAGCAATGCCAGAGGTAATATGTAAAATAGTTTTCAAGCCATCAGAATGGAGCTATTGCCATTAATATAAATGAAGATTTTGTAAGAGTATCACATCTGGAAAGCTTTACCCCCTAGCCATTTTAATAAGAGATGTTACATTGAGGAGAAAAAAATCCAATGAGATAATGACTCTTAAGAGAGCCTTATCTCTTGATTTCCACTAAAATTAGCAGAGCTAATTCAGTTTGGCAAGAATGGAGAAAAGTCATGCTGTGTCTCATTCCTCATCAGCATTACACTCAACATTTCAATTGCAAGAAAATTCTATTGGTGTGGATAAACCAGGCAGAATGTACACAGCTTGGATTCCAAACCCTCAGGTTTTTAGGGGAGCTGGCAGCTTGGAAAAGACTATTTTGTAACTTAGGCAGATGTTTTGCTGAAGCTGTTCAAAGACAGAGAATCCTATGGTGCCACCTCTACAGTAGGTTTTCAGAGCTCTGTTAGGTTTTCAAGGTACAATATATGTCAGATGAAATAATAGCTTGTGCCCAAGTGTAAGCTAAGAACCATCATTTTAAAATCATCCACATGTGGATTCTGTTTAATTGCATTTTTTTAAGATGGGGATGAGCTCTGTTAGCTGCATTTTGTTGCTCACATTATTGAGATCTTGTTATTTTTAGCCAGCACTCAGAACTACTTAATGATACCTTGTAGAAATGTTACCAGACTAGTATTGCTGTCGCTTGGGTGTGCAGCAGTCAGTAAAAGACAAATGTTACATGCTTAAAGGAACTCTCCAGAGTGTGGGAAATGAACTTGCTTAAAAGGGACATTTTGTTTCAATTGACTTGTTTTGTTTTGTTTTGTTTTTGAGGACTCCAATGACTTTTCCCAGTACCAGCTTAGGGGTTTGCTTAAAAAAAGCAATCTCAATCGGTGCATAGAAAATGTACAAAAAGAAATGAATCAACAGCACACAGGTGAAATCCAAACACAGTATGAAAATGAAGGTGGTTTTGTGAAAGAAGTGGAATCGAGGAGGGTGGTCTCTGAAGAGACTTCTCACTATATCCTAATAAAGGGTATGTCAGGTCTTAACTTTGTAAAACCTCTTGTTTGGTGTGTGCATTCTGCAGCTGGCTTTTTTCAGAAAAACTGGAATATTGTTTATGGGCACGTGTAGCCAATATTTTGTATGAAATGTGCATTAGTGTTGTACATAATTAACTGTGATCTGTAAACCTGTGTAGAAGTGGTTTATCAATCTTTATATAAGGATGTTGATCATGTAAAATGGAATGTTAGTATAAAGCAGTTTTACTAAAGAAACCCCCTGAAAATAAACAAAAAACTTTCTTTCAGGTATTCAAGCAAAAGAAGCTATAAAGAGAGACTTGGAAACTGCTGCAGGGCCCTCATCAAAAATGCTTGAATTTACTAAATTGAATAAAGTCAATGAATCTCCTGACAATGCAAAGCTGATTGCACCTGACAAGATGCAGACAGAGAAAGATAAGAATGTGGTGACAGCACCACCCTCTCCTCGAACTTTGCTTGCTATCCAGGCAGCTATGGTAGAAAGCAGCTCAGAAGAAGAACTGGGGGATGGAGAAACAGGACGATTGAACGTGGACCAATTTGTAACAGAGGCAGGCAGCGTGTCTCCAGGAACACTACGGGCAGTTCAACAAGCTCTGAGTGATGGTGATAAAAGGGAGGAAGTTGTTACTGTTAGAACTGGTGGAGTGCTACCAGAAAGATCAGAAGTGAAGGGTTTTCTGCTTAGTAGCTCAGAAGAGGAAAAACAGATTCCTGAAGTTAAGGAGGGAAAAAACATACCTACACCTACAATTCATTCGTCAGTCCAAGTGATTATGCAAGATGATGAGTCTGAGCAAAAGAGTCAGGAGGTGGAAAAGAGTCCTATTACACCCAAAGACACTGGTATAGCCAGAGCCGAAAATTATTCTTCTGTTGACAATACTGGAAAAGGCAAAGAAGATGTAGACAAAAAAGAAGATGGTTCAAAAAATAATATTGCACTCAAGAACACCAGTACAGCCAGAGCTGAAAATTATTCTTGTTTTGACAATACTAGGGTGGATAAAGAAGATGTAAACAAAGAGGTAAAAGGTTCCAAAAATTATATTACACCCAAAGGTACTGACATATCCAGAGCTGAAAATTATTTGGGAAATAAGGATATAAATTGAAAATTATTCTTGTTTTGACAATACTAGAAAAGGCAAAGAAGACGTAGACAAAGAAGAAAATGGTTTCAAAATGGACTTAGAGTCTTTGGGAAATAAGGATATAAATTTGTGCATGCAGAAGCCAAGCTCTTCCCCTGTACCAACTAGTACAGGGTCTTTGGTTCATGCCAAAGCATCAGACCTTTCTAAAAATGAGGAAAACATGAAAATTACTGGAAATATAGAGGAAGTGATTTCACAAGCAAAAGAAAATGTATCTGAGGTACAAAGGGATATTAGACTTTTTTCAGAAGCAGAAGTTTCTGAGGAGGAAAAAGAAGGAAGATCACAGTCTGAAGACAGTGATTCTGATGGTATGTGTTTTAATTGTGTAACGAAATGAGAAAGTAGGACCTTACTGTATTTGTAGTCAGTTGAAGCTAACCTTTTCTCCTAATAAATGCTTTAAAATTCATCTATTCCTACATATGCAGGAGGTGGGAAGAGAATCTGAGCTATGTTTTTCCTCTTGGTGTCACATTATCTCGTTGAAACCTGAGAGTATACAATGTGGGGAGTCAGGAAAGTATGTTGTGTACATTGAGCTTAACTGGTGTG